GTCGTCGTAGTGTTTATGCTAAACAACAATTAATTGATGCGATATGTGCAGTAATCGAAGGTAAAATGACGTCCGTTCAAGCTTTACAGCTATACAATGTACCATCAAGCACGATCCGATCCCATACTAATAACGTTTTCTTACGGATTGGTGCTAGTCGTTCATTTTATTTAAATTTAAAACAAGAAGCCTATCTAATACAATTGATTAAATCACTGGAAAGTATGGATGTTTGTCTAACGAGAACAATTTTGAAAAAAATAGTTGGTGAATATATTGAATTCGTTACACATGATCCTCGTCTAAAGAGTAAATATTTATCCTCTGATTTAGATAATACTTTACTTTATGTTTTTTTAAGATAAGGAGCCAAGCCGGCATTGGTTAAACAACTTCTTGATTCGACATAAAGGTGAAATAAAAATGATTAAGGAAAAAAGATGGAAAAAAGTCCTCTTGATGGGTTTAATGAAGACGTCAGAAGGGGTTGGTTCATGAAATTACAGAAAATATTAATCAACAACAATCTTTTACATAATCCAATGCAAATCAAGAATGTAGACGAGGGTGACTTTTCAGACGAGACACACTGTAAGTGAGCCTCTTTTCATTATATTTCATAATGATTAGGAAGTATTGTATGATAAATGAACAGTTTCATGTTTTCCTTATAACTCTATGCAATGAACAAAAAATCTGTTCAGACAGACAACTTGAAAATATTTAAATAGTGCCTAATATTCATCATACTGAGATATACTATTACTCAAACTGATTGGTAGTTTGTAGAATAATCGAATTTCGCATATTTTTCATATTTATTTTTCATTTGTTGTACTGTGAAGGTTTTATTAAGCATTTGGGATTTTATTTTAATTAAAATTAAACAATGACTTTTAAAATTTTTCGATATCTTGCAATTCTGTTGATCATTGAATTGACTTATGTTAGAAATAAAGTGAGCTGTTGACAATCGCATGCACAGGATGCAAATTAGTTATTTTAGACAGTTTCAATAAATTGGAGTTATTGATACATCTTTTTTTTCAAAGTATTGAACCCTTTGAAGTAGTTTCATATAATCCTTTTCGACAGATTTCACAGTGTATTGTTTTGGGAAAGAAAACAGATTTGATGCTTGATAAGATTATGAGCTGTACGGAAACTAGTAGTTCAAAAGTCCTGAGTAGCCGTTTTGATCCCTCAGAGCTTAATAAAAGATTTATTGCTCGAAGCAGATCAAAGTTTTTCCAAATATATAGTATAACAAAAAGGATCACTTGGCTATTTTTTTAATATTGAAGAAGTTTTACAACAGTAATTTAAAATGGCTTTTGAAATTTTTTCCGAAAAAGTTTTCCTTATTTTCGCAACAAAGAGAACGAATCTTTAGTAGTTTTTGTTACATTTGCAAGATCGTATTTTAATTTAAATTTTTTTCTTCATCTTGCACTACGTTGCACTAAGTGATCGATTATGCTAACAACGAACACAAGGAAGAGTACTCAAGAGATTTTCAATAAGAAGCAGAAATTTAATACCATCAACAAATGAAAGGGCAAATTTTTGACAAGCACGACAAAAAGCCAGAAGTATAAAGTCATAATAATATAAGTAGATCGAATTAGAAAAAAAACTTGAATACATAAGGATCTGTAGGATTATATATGCAACAAATATTTTTCTGATGACTTACGGTAGGCTTGCAAATAGTTAATGTGTAGGATGATTATTTGATTTTGTTATTTAGATCATAATTTGTATGATTTTAGAGTTGCTAAAAACAAATGGCGAAATTTAGTGTCCACATATTTTCGAAAAACAAAACGAAAATCGATTAGAAAGATGTATTTTCCTAAGCTTTTCAGTGATCTTTTTCAAGTTCATTTTCTACAACTGTTATTTCCGGTGGTTTTCGACGAGCTAGTGTTTGGCTCTCCAATTCAGAGGCAATGAAAGAAAAAGTAGTTCCTCGGTATTCATCATATAACAATACCATTATCAATAAGCAAGATATGACAATATTATTTCTCTGTTGTAACCGATATACTTTAGTGAGTCAGCAAATGATATTTTATCAATGTTGTTAAACACAACACAAGCATCTAATAGTAATACAAATGACATGAATATTTCTTCGGCTTCAACTTAAATGGATATTAAGTAAGTTTAGAGCCTTTCAATTTTTCTAAACTCAACCATACAGACCCTTAATTTCATCATTGTGAGTTATCAAAAAGAACAATTGAGTTCCACTCATTCGTGGGCCGATATTAGCTCAGATACGTTGAGGATTATATTGTCTATTCATACATCAGCTAGGATTGACTAAGATAGATTATAATTTTTAGAATATCATCAGTTCTGAAGCATCTTCACCTGATTTAACTTAGAGTGCTGATATTCTTACGTCATTGATTGTGTTTTTATCAGAATATATTGAGGCATTCATGTTTCGAATTCATATGTTTAAGCGAATATTTTTCAACTTAAACGTTCATACAAGGGATTCAATTAGTTTATTTTATTATAAGATGTTTCGTTTGCTTCTCGATGGTAATTTGTATTAGAATTTTTCGTTGTTAAATGCTTTTACTTTACAAGATTCAAAAGTCTTTTATGTTCAGTTCTCCGCCCTCTTCATCTTGACGTCAAGGTACTTTTGATTACATCAACGATGATGAAAAGTATGAAACTAATTAGCGCCGATAAGCTCTATATCACAATGACTCTTTTCCTGTTTCAGTGATTCGGATTAATTCAATAATGTTCAACCGGCCAAAACAACGACCAAACATTTATCTGATCATGATCAAAATTTTATCAATATTTATGATGATCATCGTTTTTATTAACCTATTTTAGATTCGGACGAACATTTTGCTTCTTTTTCTCATCGAAATACTACAAATCTGACAAGTACGCCATCAACAGCAACGAATCAAACTAGTTCTCGATCTGCTGTACGATCAATAATTCCATTTTACTCACAAATTACCAACATTCCTGTCCAACCAACATCAGTTAAATTAAATTCAAGTATACGTGTTGAACGCAAATTTGGTGAAGATATTACGAACGGAAATCTTTTACAAGAACTAAAAAAACAAGCTGAAGAGGAAAAGGACAAAATGATGAAAAACCATGTTGTACAACCGCCACATCGTTTACCAGAAAAGAGATACTAGTTGAATTTTGTATTTTATTCCATGTACATATGTTACTATCAAACTCTATTTCTTTTTGCACTAGTTCTGCAATGATCCGTCCTCATTAGGGACAAAATTTTGCTTTTCTTTCTTGTTTTATCTTCTGCTGAAAATAACCATTCTTCTCAGGGGAAAAGCTTATTGTCAATCAGTCAATATTTGATCCGATACTTCAGAGTTTGCCGGAGTACAGTATGTTTTCTGGGAGTACCGGCGCATCATTCGAAGCATCGAAATATTTGCGATCCCGGAATATCGTTTTCCCTTTGTATTCACCACATCCAGCTTATGCCGTACCAGGTTTCGCGAGTCTCCGAGATTCATTCTATTACGTTTAGAATATAGAACATATTACAACAACTGTACCTATGCTTGATTCAAAATTTAAAACCATTGAAGATGTCGATCGGTTTTGTACACAATTATTTTGGGTCAGTTGAGTTACAGCTGAATTCTATGGTAGTCGATATATCATAACTTTTTACAGAATCAAAAGTCAACCTATCAAAACAAAATCTTCTCAAGCAGCTGTCATGATCTCTGGGAGAACGAGATCAAGCTTTCTTGGTATAAACTTCAATATTAACTTATAAACGTGCTTCGTAAAAGTGCTATTAATAAAAAACAGTTAAAGACAGCAAGTCTATCTTTTGCTCTCAATACAGTGTGTCATCATTTTCTCTCTTTCTCGTTTATGATAAGTAAAATTAACATGAAAAGTTGGTTGTCTAAGTTTCGACGAAGATAAGGTGCTCTTTGCATTGGACGAATCATTAGAGCAAACCACACCAATGTCACTTGCTGTGTACTCCATTCTCTTGGTTCTTTTTCGCGAAAAAAACGATGTATTTGCGCTGAGTGAGTGTACTAAGCAGCGGACGAATGGTGCAGTTTATTGAGTGTCGGTAGTTGTTTCTTTCCAACTTTCAAAAGAAACAGAGCACAGTTAATATTCATCCGAACCGAGGCGCAAGCAGTGTGTGTTGACAATGGTATGATGGATGTGGGTGCGTGTGTAGGTATGGATAAAGAGAAGACAATACCCACACCCACACTGAGGACTTCGATCAAATAACGCTTTGAGTAAAGAAAGTCTCTGTTGGAAGACAACAACGATTGGCTAAAACAGAGACAATGTCGTTGCTCCCAATAATCCAATATATAAAAATTTTGGCTATTTATCTGCATATCAGCTCAGCTTGAATCATTCACTCTATGTGACCAAGATTGGTGTCGTTTAAATTCGTTCTATCAAATGAGAGCTCAAAGTCGATCTTAATCGATGTTTTTCTGTTGTTTGTTTACAAAGAGTAAATGATTTAGTTAAATTAAAGTCATTTACATTTGTGAAACGCGCTTAGTAATGAGTGTTCAAGATTGAACGCAGTCACCGACGATAGCTTTCTATCGTCTTATTCTGTGATTCTTTTGCTAAACAACGCACAATGGACGCTATGATGGTGGTTTGGCATAATGTGATTTCATTCTGACGAACACAATGCTTTTTTTCTACAATTGATTGTACATCTGTCATTCACCGTGGCTTCAGGCATCTCTCTGAAAAGAATTTTGTTCGTTGCCTGATTGCATAGCAACAAGCGTCTCTGCCTCTTGATGCTACGTAAATTTTGCATAATAACTCAACAATCTGTTCGATCCACGACTTCTTGTTTCCTGATCATCATAATTCGTATAACAAGTGATTGAATCTTTTGGATAATTGCTATCCGAAACTTAGTGGACAAGATAGAAGAAGGGCATAAACTGGACAGAGAAAAGCATTTCTCTCATCGATGTGTGCATGCAAAGAATAGCCGAAAGTTACAGTTATCAATAGTTAGAACCGATGTAAGTCTGTTACATTCAATAACTCGACACAGCTTCATGTCTTGTTTTTCTTTCTTTCTTACGTTGATAGCAATAAGATGGTGGTGTGTTGTTTCTAGAAACTTGTAAGAAACAAAGACTAAGAAAAGTAATGCGTGGTAATTAACATTCTATTCTCTTAATTTATCCTTGTCCTCTCACTCAGAGGATTGACAAATTTCGTCTCATGTGTTTTTTCTATAATGGAGATATGAATACGGAGATAATTGGTTTCTAAAGGATAGCATATTCTGCATATTTTGTAATCATATGGCGTAAAAAGAAGCAAATTTGAGTTTTTCTTATTCTTCGAGATTTGATAAACAATGTTAGTGAATCATATATACTTTTACAATGCGCTTTTAATCAATCTTGGTAGCTATTAAAATTCACTAGAGGAGATTATTCGAATGAAACAGTTTATCTGATAAAGTTTCAGATCGTAGCATTATTTAACTATCTACAATTGGAGAATAAACAAAAAAAAACAGCATTGCATCGATTTTCCTTGTTTTCTATCACGAAGGCAGTTCAAACACGAGATATGTTTGCGTTCTTCATCATGTTTCCATTGCTACTGATATCTACCTACCAATATAGATGAAGAAAAAACCGTCTCTGTATTGTTCACTTCAACTTTTTTTCGGTCTATAGATCGGCTTCATATATCTATCGTCATTTGTTTTTGTTAATCTTATTAAAATGCACAAATAGTCGACTACTGATGATGAGGATCTCAGATAAAACGAATGAAATGCAAGTTGTATTTAAAATTTCAACAAAATGAAAGAAAAAATAATTTATTTGAATGAATTTGATTGTCATCTATATATATAATGTTCAGCGTCTGTATGTGTGTCTGTACCAGGTCAAAGGTTAAAGGTCAAAAAAGGCTATAACGGAGCAAGGCTATAAAGGAGTAAAGTAACAAGGGAATAAGGCTATAAGAGAGGAAAGTTGTAGGGAAACACTTGAGGGAGTAAGGCTACAAGAAGTAAGGCTGTAAGCTGGTAAGACTACAAGAGCTACAAGAATTATAAGGTCGTAAGGTTAAATGGACTATTAGTGATATAAGGACATCACGCTGTAGGGCTTCTATGTACACAACATCGAGTGTCTGTATGTCTGTTACCAAATGAAAGATTAAAAGTTTGAGATCGCACGTTAAAGAAAAAAAAAGCTGTCGTGCAGTATGCACGGGTTCTCGGTAGTTTATATATATTGATCACATTCTTCCAAGTGTATTTCAGTAATTGATGGATTATTTGGTAAAGATGAAGAATTTTGTTTCGATACTTTTTTCACTTGAAATACACTATGAGGCATAATCAATATTTCTCCTTCATTTGCATATTGAGAATAATTTTCAATATGTAAACCAGTACGACGATGTTTAATGGTATAAATGCACATTACCCATACTTTAATCAATGTTCCATCGGATTTAGTTCGTTCTACTGCTGATTTCTGCCCTATTACAAAGTTTTCTTCTCGAATTGAATGCAATTCGACAACTTTTCGATCAATCGATGAAGATAAAAACGATTTTGTCATTAAATAACAGCCAGATTTATATCTAGTAAGATTTTCATTGTTTATTTGCATAACTCGATAGGCATTACCAATAAATGTGTATGTATCCAACGATGGATGATGTGAAATTAAGGCTATAATATAGCGTCGTTCTTGTTGACTTTGATTTGCGCCGCATGCTATTTCATTATTCAATACGCGGTAAAAATCCGTTTCAGCTGTATAAGCTTTAATTAACCATTTTGGGTCCTGTTCTAATGATGCTTTTTGAAAAAATCGTCTTATAATATCCATCTTATTCATATTACTTAAAGTTTTATCAATATAATTCTTTTCAATTCTTTCAAACATTTTATGAATAGTGTTACTCTGATTGAATTTGTCATATGTAGATTTGATTATTTGTCGTTCTTCAGACGCTTTAGTGTCAGACATAAAAGACGTACACTTCATCTAATTTGTTCTCAATATTTTCAGATATGAACTCTTCGGACAATTCATAATGACATAAGATGAAGTCAGCGGAATATGCAAGCTGACATCAAGTGATCATGAACATATAAATATTTAGGAACAAACGAAGAACTACTTTTGCTTATCTCGAATTTATTCTTTGTTACACATAGGCTGCGATTATACACATTGTTTGACTAGTTTTCAAGGTATGTGCTCTGCAGTTTCTTGAAGAAGGATAGAACTATTTGATAGCTTCCAAGTTTCGATGGGTCATGGTAAAAAAAAAGACTAATGCTTAGTAAAATTCTTTTGAAGCATACTCTACTTTAAGAAACAGCGTAGTTACAACAGAAGCGGCATTCTACGGCTACCATGACCTATACTCTTCTTCCAATGACCAATTTCTAGTTACATCATTATTCTGGAACACTTCAATGGATCTTTCGATTCCACTTTAAGCATATCATTGATCTGATGCCTTGTTTGAAACAAGATTTTCGCTAAGGTTTGAATTCTATGGCGAGAAGAAATGAATTTTGCAGACTATTGCACAAGCAATGTCGACTCACTTGCGACTTCAACTTGATATATCGACATGCTTTTTGTTCGGTCTATCAAGACCCATGGCAAATGCCATCCGAGACTTCCTGCCCGTAATGAACCTTGTTGTCCTCCCTTTCAGATTTATGATCCATAGAGACAGTAATCAATAAGTATGAAGAGCAGTATACCAATTTTCTATATGAATAACTGAAATCTTCGACCTTTAAGGGTACAGCCATCATCAGCAGTGAGATATCCATGGGGAAGAATCTCATTCCAAGCCATTCAAATAGCTCGGAATGGATTGGAATGGCTCAGAATGGCTCGGAATATTCGGATGAAATATTTCCATCTTGTAGATATCATTGGCAACAATTGGTTTTGACTTTATTCCGAACAGCAATACACAAAGAGCTGGACAAACCTGAACTATGGAAGATCTTAACACAAATCATTGGTTACGTTTCATGTCTCAATGTCATCTAGTGACTGTATGTTAAGGTTTTCCATAGTTCATGCTTGTCCAGCTCTTTGCGTATTGCTGTTCTGAATAAAATCAAAACCTATTTTTGCCAATGATATCTCACTGTTAATGATGACCGTGTCCTTAAAGATCGAAAATTTCAGTTATTCATGTAGAAAAGTGGTATATTGCTCTCAGTGGCGGATCTAGAAATGTTTCAATATGGGGCGATTATTCACATAAAATGTATTTTGAAGCTCTATAAAAGTAGTTTCAGCTCCATTTTAAGCGTTTTCTTCTAGAAAAAATCGGTTTTTTGTTCTGTCGATATGGGACGATCGCCCCAAGCGCCCTCCCCGTAAATCCTCCACTGATTGCTCTTCATATTTCTTGATTATTGTTGACTTCCTTTCAAGTTTTCTCATCTCAAACTTACCATAGAGATAGTGCTGACAGTGATTCTAATTGATAGATTCCTACAATATTCGAAGGGACCATGATTTCGTCATCAGAAAATAATAATGATATCAAATAAGATGAAATGCATCGAACTTCTCTATTCCTGTACATTTCTAAAATCTTCTTTTGTATTCAATGACATTGACTTTACGATTTGAATGTTAACATTTTCCGAATGAATCGAGTTTGTTCATCGCTTTGAATAGTATGTGTGACTTTCTCGGTATAATGCTACAAAACTCCGGAATTTTTTGCACAAAAAATTTCTCACAAGAAGTTTCAAAAGAACAGCATTTTTTTCAGCTTCTTTTTTGAGCAAGAAGAAACATAATCGACAAACAATTGATCTTAAAATCCCTTTTATTCTTTTTCTCTACTGATTGAGATAAAAAAGTGAACATTACTTAATATATTGAGATCATTGACAGGACGATATCTTAGAAGTCTTTCATGAAAATGATGTGAGATGAATAGTTACATGTGAAAAAATGACGAATAATCAATCCTATCGAAAATTCAGATGTCTTTTATAGATGACAAGTTTTTCTAGAACATCATCGTCAGTTAATTCCCATTCAATAGCACCCGTATCTGATTTTAATCGATTCCTGTTTGGTACACGTAGAAAAAGTTCTTTGATATCATCATTTAATGCCTCATCGAATGGTAAACAATTGTGTTTGTTTTGTATGGCTCTATCAGCTCCTGCTTCGAGCAATAATTTAACAATTCTAAAATGACCACGATACGATGCGACATGCAATGCTGTGCTACCAATCGGTTCAATTTTATCTATCTCATCAAGAGTCATTGTTTCCAGTAGTTTTTCAACCTCTTCGACATTGTTATCACGACATGCCAAATAAAATTCGCTACAAACATTCGAGAATGTCGCTTCTTTTGTTACTGTTGTTGTTTTGATTATTGTTCCTGTCTGCGAAGTTGGTTTTACTTTCGACTTAGTATCTTCATTCGCTGTTGATTTGTTCGAAGAAAGGGAATCGGAGTCATACGAGTCCGAACGGTGAATGTGCATTTGACGAGCTCGACGATCAAATACAAACCGTTTCAATGATTCCAAAAAGTTTCCCATTATTCAGAAACAAGAGGATTATGTTCAGTATTCACAAAAACGTTTATAGAAATACGAATACGTACCTTAAATATGAAAACAGTAATATTCAATCGTAAAGTAATAGGAAGTTTAGACGAGTTAAATTCCTTCACTGGGTATTCAAATATCGTTTTGAAAGATAATCGAAGGGCAATTTCTAACATCCACTCAAAAACGTTTTAAGATAGATATCGATGATTCTTAAATCATTTTGTAGAGAGCTTCGCCAGATTTTGGCCTTCCTTTCTTCCCTGTCCACTGAGTTCCATGACTGTTCATTTTTGACCGACCTTTCTCTCGAACAGCGAATATTGTCTATGGATGATTCTATGCAATGAAAATTTGAATCTTTGTGTATAGAAGTTTCTGAAAAATGAATCCTATTAATCGAACGAATGATTTTGCAACCGATACAGCAAGTTCTAAATATGAATACGCTATTGCAAGTCTTACTTCGCTGATATATTACGAAACTAACTTCATCAAAAATAATTTTATAAGTTTAGTTTTATAGAAAAACTGAATTATATGCTATCGATTTAAATAAAACGAGATAATCTCTACGAGTCATTTCCGGTTATAGCTTAGGATTCAACCGTCCTCACCCAGATTTCTATTATCTTTTACATTACAGTCTACAGGAATTATGCCAAAAGTTGAACTTCATTATACATGGAATGAATTAAAGATTTAGTTTTCATCTAATTATCAGGAATGAAACTGAAGATTGACTGTAATATAAAAAATCGAAACATTTCATTAGACTATAGATAACACTCAAAAACTTTTACCGTAATTCATACGTTAAACAAGCAGTTATTCGTGGGGGAAAAAGCGAGCTTAAAAAAACAAAATTCCACTTGAAAATGAGAAAAATATGTTGTGACAGACTCACAATGTCTCGTTGTTTGAAGTAAAATATGTCCTTTCGAAGAAAGAAATATCGTTATGAGGACTGCTTGTAAAGCTTATTTTTTCCTAATTGTGTATGTCGTAAGAAAGCAATAGGATGAAATCAAAATTGTGGACTTTGTGCAGGTGATCTTATACTTGATTGTCACAGACAACAAAACAAGAGAAAAGAAGAACAACACATGATTCTATTGGACGGACAAGTAACAATTATGAATTTGGTAGAATTCTAGATGGCAGGATCGTTCAAAACGAACTCGAAGAACAAAATTAGGTTGATATAACAATAGAATCCAAAAATGGATAGTCGGTCAATCGACTAGTATAACTAACTATAGTTGATCAAGCCAATTAAATGTTGGGTAACACTTCTGTTGACTTGAGGGTGTGGATAACGAGAAGACAACACTCATACTCACAAACTTTGTATTTAAATTTACCCGTTTTCTAAACTTAACTGAGAAAAAAACCTCAATTTTGATGCAAAATTTGTGTACTTCTATAATTACAGATGTCGCCATCGAGATTCTAAGATTCATTAAAATCCATCCATATCTCTATAATAAAACACAATTGTCTGTCCGTCTGTTACCAGATTAAAGGTTAAAAGGTCAAGAGCCAAGAGTCAAAGATCAGGATCTGGCTGGATGTATGGTGCGGTGGAACGCGAGTGGATGAGTGAGGGCTGGTGTGAGGTGCAATGACCATACTTGGAACAGGGCCGGTCGGTCTGCCGGTTACCGGTCCGGCTCGGTTGAACTTTTGAGACCGGCCGGTTTTTGCTGGTTTTTCACCGGTTTTTTTCTCATTTTTAGGAATAATATGTCATCGCTTTATAGACGTTATACATTATAACGGATAAAAATATCATGTTGATAATTGAAAATTAAAGTATGAGAGGTGAGAAAACATTATATGAAATCAGTACTACATTAATTTTTTCATCGCTGTACAATCCTGAAAGTTAGTCTCGAGTTGTATTGTTTATTGATTTCCAGCCAAAAAGCAGCAGTACATTTGCACTGTATGCTGCAGTATTACATTAAAAGCAATGCAGAAAAAGAATTCATATCTTCAAGAATCGATTTTATATTTATTGGATAGTTTGCATTCTCTTTTGACATATTTATTGTTTATCTTTGCTAGATTAAAGACGACTAGCCTATCGTTTCTTATTGTTTAGATATGAGTTTCTTAGTTAGTGATTATTAGGAAGGACATAATGTTTGTCTGAGAATTGTGTTACTCTCGCTTTTTTCATTCAATTTATTTATTTCATGACGTTTCGAAGGACACGTTCTTCTTCGTCAGGTTGTTACAAATAAAATACAGATAAAATTGATGTACGAATGAGGAACACACGTATAAATGTATATATATATCAGTACAAAGATTGAACTCTCTCTTTTCTTTTTCTTTTTAATTTTGAAGAGTGGAACGGACGAAGAATAAAATAGGTAATATATTTTCTTTTTATCCCACTGTTGTCGTCTTATTGTCGTCCGTTGCGCTTTTGAAAGTTAAGAACAAAACACAAAAAGACAGAAGTGAAAATTCAATCTTTGTATTTATATATATTCATTTACATGTGCGTTGCTCATTTATACATTAGTTTTATTTTTATTTTGTTTATAACAATCTGACCCAGAAAAAATTTCCTTATGAACAACACAATCATGATTGATCCCGATAAATTGAAATGTAGTCAAATTGAAGTCAAGTTAAAATTGAAGCAATTTATTTTAATAAAAAATGTTAGAGGAAATTATGAAAAGTGGTCAAACGATATTTCTTTAGTCGGAAGAGTTAATGAAAATGGTGTAGAATAAATTTTTGAAGATTATGCAGCATGGTAAGCTTATCGTTTTTCCTATTTTTGCAAGAGCTACTTTCATGATATAATTCTTCATTTTAGCAATTATTGCTATTCAACATATCGAACTCATAGTACGAAAGATAAACATGGTCAAAGGAAGAATTGTGGGCTTAATTCTATACATAAACATTTAAAAGAATGTTCATACAAATCTAAAAATCATTCATCTGTAATTACATTATCATCAACAAGCAATACTTTACCACAAACATCGTCATTACGTGAAGCATTTATACCAAAATTTACTTATAATAAAAACGAAATTTCAGATAACTTTTGAAAATAAATTAAAAGATGCAGAATTGAAGTTCGTTGTTGCTGGATCACATAGTTTAAATTCACTTGAAAATAATGGTATTCTAGAACTGTTACAAGTGGATATCAAGATTGGAAGTCATTATGGAATGTTAGATATACATGATATTTTTTATGGTCGTAAAACAATTCGTGAATATTTATTAACAAAATTTGATGCATATCTTAAGACAATAAGAAATATTCTCGGTGAACCAATAAAAGAACATTGTTTAGCAGCAACATATGATTTATGGACTGATGATTTTGCTAAAAGAACTTATTTAGATTTCACTGTATTTTGGACAACCAAAGAATATGAATTAAAACATTCATTACTATGATGTAAATATTTCGAAGAAGCTTCAAAAACATCAGTAAATATTTGGCACGAATGTAAGTGAAGTGCATACTTCTGTCATATAAACATTTGATAAGTTTTCAATGAAATTTATATTTTTTATATATTTAGTAAAAATCATTTTTAATTCATTCAATCTATCTTATGGTGATACACCAATAACTACTGATTCTGGTTCGAACATAGTTACTACATTTAAAATTACAGATGAAACAAGATTATCTTGTATGGCCCATCGATGTAATACAGTACTAGAAACAGCGTGGGATGAAACAAAAAAAACACACAAAGATTCTGAAATCTTTTGCAGTTGTGTGAAAGATTGGAGAAAATTTATTAATCAAACCAGTGGAATACAAGATGAATTACCGAAATCAATTGAATGTAATAGTGGAACTCGACTATGGAGATCTTATTTTAAAGTGCACGATTCATTGAATGCTTCATTTACGGCATTAACTCAAATTTTAACTGCACGAAATAAACAACATCGTATTTTTAAATTAATAAAGTTTTATTGGTTGATATTGTTAATTTAATGGAACAATTCTCATTAATATTCCATCATTTAGAATTTTCTAATTGTCCAACACTACAGAATATAGTTCCGGCTTATTGCAAGATGGTGAGTTATTGTCAAATCAAAACAAATACACAAGAAAAACAAATATTCAACACATTAAAATCTGAAATACTGAAGGCATTAGATGATAAATATTGATCTTCTATCACGACATTACATTGGATTGCCACATTTTTAAAACCAACATTCAAATCTTTAACATTCGCTCATGACAAAAAAGACCGAGCAAAACGTCATCATGAAATACAAAAAGGATTGCATGTATTAGCTGGTAATCTGTTAACAACTTCAGCTGATGATCGACAGATATTAATCACGTCAACTGATTCTATCAGTTCATCTTCACCACCTCAAAAGAAGCCAAAAAATGATCCTTTTGCTGATATTCGTCAACAAGTTCCAGCAAATCCATCTTTATCGTGCCGTCAAAAACAACATTTGAATCGTTAAACATTGAACTTGGTCGACAACTTCGGTTATATAACAATATGACATTAGATAGTAATTATGAATATAATAATAATCTTTTGTTGTTTTGGAAAGAACAACACAACCATTTACCATTGTTGGCTAGAACAGCAAGATCCATATTTGCTGTACAAGGTAAGATGTTCATTTGATATAGTTATTTTCCAGATTTAGTACTAGGGGGGGGGGGGGGGTGTCAGGTAAAAGTTATATATCTTATTACATTGAAATCTTATATATAACTTGCATTTATTTTTTATGTATTTTAGCATCATCTAGTGAAAGTGAACGATACTTTTCAATGTCAGGTCGAATAGTGATTGAACAAAGAAGTATTCTTGATTCTGATTGTGTTGAAGCCTTAGTTGAGCTCAAAGAAGCTTATCTTAATAATTTATGGCCTAAAGAAGAATGATATTTGTATTGTGATTAATGACTACTTAAAACGAAAAAAAAAATTACTTTATTTTCATTTATATATATTATTATTTTGTAAATAATATGAAATATGATTTCATACCTGTGTTATTTGTAACAGTCGTTGTGAAATAGTAATCCAAGGTTATGAAAACTTTATTTTGTCATTTTTTGTTCTTTTCTTAAACTATTATTTGATTAAGAAGAAATAATAAAAAAGATTGTAATGAATCAGAAAATAAAGGAGGTGCAACGGGTTTGTCGTAACTACTTCAACTTTTCGAGATAATATACCTAAAAACGTTAGAGATTTGTCATAAGTGGTCTCTTTTCTTCGGAGTTTGGCTAATCATAGACTATCTTTATTTGTTTTAAACAATGATGTATGTCAAGTGATCACCTTCACTCATACTACTACCATAGGATCCAAATCTATAGTATAATGAAGACTATTGATTCATATCGCGTCAAAACATCATTTTTTTCACAGTAATAAGCATATCGAAACTGATATTGCATTAGTTGAGTTCTTATCTATCATACCTTAAAAAATACATACATTTGGTTTTTTACCGATCAGATTATACAATAAAACCGGCCGGTTTTTTGCCGGTCCAATCACAAATGTAGATCGGCCTGTAACGGGCCAGTTTGGTTCGGTCGAAAATGTCAAACTGGTCGGTCCGGAAAAACTGGACCAGTTCCAAGTCTGAGTTGAATAATCTCTATTCAGCTTTCCAAATAGCAAAAGAAAGATTTGAAATATTCAAATGAAATATTGTGAATTGGTTTAATATTTAATATGAAAAATAACAGATGAAAATGATAAAAATAAATTAATAATTGAAGATTTATATAAAGAAAGAAGATGTTAATAGGAATAAAAATAAATTTCACCCATGTCTTTATTAGAAAATTGTTGAATAAAAACTAAGAATAAAATCTAATTAAATTAATTGGCATGTTTTTTAACAATAGTAAGATTTATTCTAAGAAAATGTGATTGATCATTATTTGAAATTTGTTCAATTGACTGTCGAAATAATTGAGCTTTTTGCCAAGCAGTATCATCATTATTATCATTTGAACTTGTTAATATAACTTTAAAACCAATTCGAATATTTGATAAAGAATTTATTTTCTCGTCTAGAATATATTCAAATGATGAATTTGAACCTAAATTTAAAATAAGAGAAAAAAAAACAAGAAATTTAAATAAAATAAAAATTTGTAAAAATACTTTGTGGTATATCAATAATTAGTTGATCTCCAATATGTAATTGACAAATAATTTGAGCATATTGATCAAAAATTGTTGATGGACATTGGATATTAATTTTATTAAATCGATAAAATTGTTCTTGTTCGGAATTAAATTGTATAAACCATGAAATAAATCCATTTTGAAATAATTTATTTCTTGATAAATAAACCATTTTCCAATCTTTTTCAATTTTTCTTTGAATATTTGAAGATGAATAAACTTTATCGATCCATCCATCTATTTGATTTTCTTCAAAACCATTACGATAATATTTATTTAATACAGAATTATATTCAATAGTAATAAAACCTTTTTCACATTCTTGATTATTTATTAAATAAATAAATCCATTTGTTATATCATTCTAAAATATAAATTATATAAAAACTAATAATAAATTAAATTAAATAAAGAACTTTTTCATCTGTTTCTCCTCGTGCTAATTTCCAAGTAAGTGAACCACTTTGTCTTCCATGTAATTCACTTTCTTTTGTTAATTTTTCTTCATTTAACATACTAACTAGATCTTTTATTCGACTAGAAAAAACAAAATAAAACAAAAAAAAACAAAGTTGAAATGAGAAAATCTATACTTGGAAATAATTTTGTTTTTATCTTGTTGATTAAGTTGTGATTGAATTTTTCGATTAATTTGAGAAATAATTTTCGCGAAGATATATTCATTAATATTTCTTGTTTGTATTGTTTGTTTAAAATGAGTAACATATCTCCAAGTAACATCTTCAATATGATCTTTAGCAAAAGCAATACAATATGATAAACTTTTTTTCCATCCTTTTTCATAAATAAGTGGAGAATCACAAAGATTTTCACATGAATCACAATGAATCCATCGATTTTGATTTTCGGAATAAACTTCAGTCCAAACATGATCAGTTGTATCATATATATAACGACTTTCAAATGATAATGCACGACAAAGACAAGTAAATAGATTTGCAGCTTCACCACAACGACCACAACGAGTTTCTAATAATTTTAATGGAGCATTGAAACGAGGAAAACGATATTGAGATGAACAATTTGAACATCTTTTCAAAATAAATAAACAATATTTTAAGTAAGAAAAAAGATTTTTTTTGTTTTTTGTTTTTTTACTTATAAAGTTCGACTTTATGTGCACCTCCTTGTTCTTGTTCTTCTCTTGTTGGTTGAACATATTGAAAAAAATCCATTGATTTTTGACATCGATCACAATTTGGATGATCAAACCACGTAAAAAATTCTTCTTTAAACCATCTTAATAACTCAATTAATAATAAATCACGTTTATCAATATCTGTTTGATTTTTTCGATTAGAAATTCTTCGATTAAAATCTTCTAATGGAATTATGGATGAACGAATATAACGACGAAGATTAATATCTTCATAAGATTGAACTTGTTTTAATGTTGATAAAAATGGAATTAATTTACTAAATTCCAATGGAATACCAAGATTATCATATGAGATTAATTTATATTCTAATTTATCATCATCAATTATTCCAAGATCTATAACATTACATTTTATCTAAATTTTTTTTTTATTTTGGTAATATAAAACCTTTCAATTATAAATATTTACTTGTTTAGATTGATCGAGAGGATTTGAATCAAGTTCATTTTCAAGTAATTTAACTATTTCTTCAAGTTTTTCATTAGATGTTGTTTGATCAAATACATAATCATCATTCACCTACATTTTTTCATTATAGTAGTTATTTGCATTCTAATCGTTATTTTATTATAGATTATACTAAGAATTGAAAACTTTTTTTTTCTATTAGATCTTTACTAAGACTAACTCAGATTTCAACTAGAAAAATACAAAAGATAATATCTCGAATTAATTGACATTGACAAATAATTATTTTCATCATCTTCATGTTTATTATTTGTAGAAGTAGAATTGAAAATATCTTTTCTTATTCAATATTAGAAAATAAATATCTGAATATATGAAATCAATTAAAATTAGATCTATTAAATATTCTTCAAATTTTTTTTTCTTTCTAACTATTTATCTATCAGCAAATTACAGATAATTCGAGTATAAATCAAATTAGTTTTGCTAAAATGCGTTATTATTCATGAAAAAAGCGATATATAATGATTGTGTATTCTTTCGAAAATAACAAAAGTTTCTCACAAAAATATTTCAATAATAATTAAGATTTGGCAACAGTTTCAACTGTGATAATCGAAACTAATTCGGATATTTTTAACATTTGATTAAATCAATTTAGTTGTCAACTTTCTCTAATCATTCAAAGTATATTTCTCAAGCGAGAAATGACGTACTCCTGTATTTGTGGACTACATCAAATACAGTTGAAGTACATCAAATCTAATATCAAATCAATCTTGAAACGACATACTTCAATACTTTCGTACTACCTGTACTCCTTCTATTCCCGCTCTACTTCTTGTGCTCTCATTGTACTCCGAAAGTCCATGGAGTTCAGTCGAAATACATGGACTTTGCGAAGTACTGGAGTACGTCGTTCCTCTTTGATATTTGTTCATTATAGAGGCAACTTCGATGTTCATTGAGTGATATGTAGAATTTTTTATTACATAAATCCATAAATAAACAGTGTTTGAAATATACAAGTATTGGCGAAATTCAGTTAAATGAAAATGTTTGTATTTCTGATGTTGATGAGCACGAGAAGTCATAAAGAATTTAATGATCTATTCGAGACGTTTCACAATAATTTGAAAAGACTCTTTGAATATATTTGTTAGTCTTTCAAATAAGAAACAAAACAATAAAACGTATTGAACATCTCTAGAGAAAATGGATTAAGTCAACTTTTTCGAAATCGTTATCGACAATATTGGATTAAAAATATTTTTTTTGTTAATTAATATAAATCATTGAATTAATAAGAAATTAATCTGAGTGTTACAAGGTATAAAAAGCAAGTACAGTAAAACCTCCCTATATGGGCACTTCTTATCTCTGGACAGTAGGCACTATTTTTAGGCAGTTCTGTATGACCGCTCTCTCTCTTAAATGGGCACGTAGTCAATGTTGAATCAGTAGAATAGTCTTTTTCCTCCTAATCGGTCTTTGTTGTTCGGTGAATGCGAGAGAGAAAAGAATCGTCCGACGTATAGCAAAGAAAATGATCCGTTTATAGAATTCCTATTGCTCATTCACTAATGAGAAAGAAAAATTCTGGTGTTGTTTGATATTGTTGGACGAAATCATAGAGAAATGATGTCGCACCATTGTCTCACGCTCGACAAGAAGATTGCCTTGATCAACGACTATGCTGATGAAGCTGAGCTCTCATAGCGCAAATAAAACTTGACCGGTGATTATATGGATTGAAAAACTAATAGACAAAGGTCAATAATGGATTTTTTTCGAAAAACTGGATTGGTACTAAAAAAAATCGAAAAATAAACTCAGGTGAAGAGGAGATATCAGCTGGTAACAGAGTAAGATTCGTGACACAGGAGAAAGTCTACAGGTAGATTGGCCGTATATATAAGAGTATCCTTTGTAATGTAGTGTGTGAGAAATATTTTTGATCATCATTATAAGGACTCTCTAACAAGAATACTTCCATAAAGTGGCTGATTTGAAAAAGTCCTGTAGGTGCTCATCTCACAAAGGTTCTACTGTATATCAACTCTTAGAGAAATATTTTTCATTGAAAATTTATCGTTAGAAAGAATGAAAATTTTCATTCCTAATATTGATCTGTGTGTTAAGATATTGTTCTCAGAAATAAATCGAAATGTAAATATCTTCAGTGATAATATTAATTGAGAAAAATGTAAATATCTAACCTGTTTAAATCCGATTGTTTGTAGACAACTCATAGCTCCTGAATATTTGTGAAAAACTTCTTGAATATAATTGTTAGGTAATGTATGATGTCGATGATTATTTCTATCATTAATTAAATTTGAAATAATATCAATAAGAAGTGTTATTGTAACAATTCTATCATCTTCATTAATTATTTTTCGTAAATTATTAATAAAAGCTAAATCCATTTTATCTGGAATGTGTAACAATTACTTATCATTATTAACAATAAATATGTATCGTTAGAAAAAAAAAAGAATCGATTAAATAAATAGATTTAAAAAAAAAAGAAAGATTAAATTCGTATTGAAAAAAAAAAAGAAAAGAAAATGTTTGATAGTAATGTATCTATCACCGAATAAAATAAAGACTAGAATTGAGTTATTTCTTCTGAAGGACTTAATGTATTATCATGATGCGAAGTAAACCGACTATTATTTGTTTGAGCTGAATCTTTATTCGAATTAGCCATCTGACTATTCATATCAGGATTTATTTTAATAAGATGAATATCATCATTAGATGTAGGAATAAATGATAAGACTTCTTTTGATGTTATTTTATCTTCTCTTTTTGATTGAATAACATCGTGCTCTTTAATATTATTTGAAAATTTTTGACGATGTTGTGACAAAAGTGATTGACTCTTTGGATTTTCTAATAAATTTTCCGTATTTTCATGACGATGAGAACTTTTTCCATTTGAATTTGAATTTGATGAACTTGATACTAAATTAAAATTGAAGAATTTTATTTAAAAAAAACAATTTCTTAATTGAATTAATTTTTGTAAGTCAGTTAAAAGCAAAGATAATATCGATTTTGCGAAAATTGTCATATGAATGAAAGCGAGCGAAAGAAAACCTTTTTGCAAAAAAAATATTTCCTTTGAAGAAATTCTTCCATTAGACAAAAATATTCAAATAAATTCTCAATAGTAACAAAAAATTGTTTGTTGATCTCTGATTAAAATAAAATAAACCTGTTGTTTGTTCTAAAGAAATTTTATCTGTTGATATATGTTCAACATTGATTTGTCGAGTAACTGTTGGCTCAACTTCAATTGATACTTGTCGATCAAATGGTACATGAGGTGCTCGTTTTTTTTTATTTATTCTTGGTGATCTATAAATAAAAATAAAAATTTCTTCAAACTTAATTTTTAAATAATAAAATAAATTTAACAGACGATTGTGATTGAGTATTAACTATATTTTCATTGGAATTAGTAGAAGTTTTCTAAAAATAAAAGATAAAATTAAATGAATAAAAATAAAGCAAAAAAATAATTTACAGATTGAATAAAAGTTGGAATAAGATCAGGTTGCGATTGATATAATCTTTTATTATCAAGTTCAACATCTATTTGATTATTTGATGGAAATAATTGTTTATGATGTATTATCATAAGTTCAACTATAAGTGAACCAATTGTAAACGAATTTGACATATAGATATTAGATGATTGATCTTTTGGATAGAGAATATTACATCCAATACATATACCTATATTACTGACTGTCATTTTATTTACAGATGAATATTCAGCAACACGACTTAAAAATCGAATTAAATAACTGAAAAAGAAAGAAATCATTTTTTTGCAAAGAGTTTTTTTTTGTTTCGTCAATTAATTAAAGAAAATAAAAACTAACCAAAGATTATCATAATTAACTTTAGGTAATTTATTTATTAATTGACTAATATGTTGAAGACGATCTTTGTCACTACTAAAATTAAAAACATATTAAAGAATATATTTCGAAAAAATAATAACCTAATTAATGTAATTTGATTCCATAAAGGTAAAAGTGCATGAGTAAGTAAACAATCTGGAAGTTGTCTTAAATATTGTTTAAGTGTATTTGCTGGTACATGTGCATCATAAGAAAGATCTTCTAATTGATTATTTTTATTAATAATTTGTAAATCAAGTTCTGTAACAAATTTTTTTTGTTTTTGTTGTGCTGGTGCAATACGAAAAAGACCTTCTTCTTCAATAGAATTTTCTAATAAATAAATACACATTTCAATAGGATAAGCTATTGGATGTTGAATTCTTTTTAAACAATGTTCAGATAAATCACAATGAAATGATGGTGCTAATTTATAATTATCTAAACGATTTTTTATTTTTGGTATTCGATTTGATAAATATATTTGAATATTATTATAAAATGATTCTTCTTCAAATAAATATTTTATAAATAAATCATAAGTTATGAAATATTCTTCACTAGCTATACGATTTGTTTCTGTTATATAATTATCACGATTTAATATTCGTATTTGATCAGATTCTCTACGAATATCTTCTAATTCACGATGACGTTCATCATAATTTGGAATTGTTATACGATCGGATCGAGTTCGAAATCTTTAAAAAAAATAAAGAAAATGAAAATATTTGTTTATTTTTGTTTTAATTAATTAAAACAAACTTTTTTAAATTAGCTTCAGCTGTTTCAAATTTTCGTTGTGCACGTTCATAATTATCACGAAGATCTGACATTGTTTGTCGAATAAATAACTATTTAACAAATATTTATTTTTGTTTTAAGAAAAAAACTCTAGTAAATGAAATACTTGTTTTTCTCTAGCTTGTTCACTAATTTTTCGAAAATTTTCAATTGATTCTTTTCTTTTTCCATCAATAAATTCATGTATTTCTATTAAATCATCAATAGTTGAATTTAAAATCGATGGAGAACCATTTTGTCCATATGGAGAATGATAACCTTGGGCAACATCACTCATACGAAACTCTTTAAATACTTTTAATATATCACTATCAATACTTTTATTTAACTAGAACAAAAAAAAACATTTTTTCTTTTTGTTAAATAAAATAAAAATAATTTTTTCTAATAAATTAACTTACTACATCTTTGTCTGTTTTCCAAAGATCAGCTAATACTTTACATGAATCTCTGATGTAACGAACACGATTTCGAAACTCAGGAACATCTTCATTTCTAAAATTTTATTTACAAAGGTGGTTTTTTTTTGTTCAAATCTTATTTTATCATTTTATACGAATTCTATGGAAAGAAATCATTTTAAAAATTTTTGCTTTTTCTTTTCTACAAACATAATTGCGTTAATAAAACGTTATTGTCAAATCAGCTTTTATAATTTCATGAAATTTTATTTAGAAAAACTCTCTTACAGCTTCGTTTGATATGTTACTATAAAAAAATAGATAAATCACTTTTTATTTAATGCTTATAAAGTCTATCAGTTCATGCGACCAATGTTTTTTAGTGACATGTCAAACAATGTTCCATGAGAATATTATGACTAGAAATAGGATTAATTTTATGATCATTAAGAATGAAATTATTTTTAATTTTTTTTTTTGACGGAACTATTAAACTTTGTCCATTATTGATTTACTTAAAACATACGAAAAGTGGTAGTGTCAACACTATAAAATCTTATGGAAGGTTCGAGAGAATTTTCTTTCTAGATATAGTGATAGCCCGAACCAAGTTCTATAATTCTACAATATTTCATCATTCTTCAGATTATATTATAATAGGAAAGTTTTCATGTGTTAAACTTCGGTGGTCATTTTTTTGAAAGATTTCTTCTTGATAATCCACGATAATTAATTAAACATCTGCAAAAAACAAACAAGACAGTTGGTTATTAGACGAGACAAACAGTAGAATCCGAAAGAAAAATTAAAATAAGATATAGGTCCAACGAGAGAATTGTTTCAAGTAATAAATCGTTTTTGAGTTGAGACTATGCATAAAATAGAGCCAAATGAAATATGAAAAGTTCTAGAAGGAGAAGTACTCTTAGACCTTGTCTTCTAAGTTGTATCTGTTTTACTAGAATTTGAGGATATGACACAGTATAGATCAATAAATCGAATAACAATATTTCAAAGTGAGATGTCGTCTACAGATAGGTCTACTTGTGACTAGAATATCCTGAAAAATTTCTCAACCAAAAAGAATATTTTTTTTGCGAGATATTCAAATCTAAGATTCTCGCGCCGTTCGCAGTATATATGAGTCATTTTTGAAAATTGAATGTAGTATATTCTCAAATAACCTGAAGAATGATGAAATATTGTCAATTTAAAGAACTCGACTAGGACTATCACTATATGTAGAAAGAATATTTTCTTGAACCTTCTAGAAGATTTTATAGTATCGGCATTACAATTTTTGATACGCCGTAAGTCTATGAAATAATATTGAGAAAAAGACTTTTCAAACAACGTTTAATTTGTCTTTTTAGACAACGTTGACTTTGTTTTTTATAATAATATAAAGAAATTTTGTTGACATTAAGCTTAGAATCAATGAATGATTGAATAGATATTTTTATTTGAGATTTCTCAATAAAATAATAATAATAATAAGTTAATATTTATTCTTAAAAATAAATAATAGTTAATAACGATTAATCAGCTAATTTGATTTAAATATTGAAATTGAATAAAACATCAATAATAATATATAAATAAAACTCACTTATTGCCATTGAAAAATGGCTTGATTATATTCATCTATAGGAAATAAAAAACAAACAATCATTCAATTATTTATAATGTTAAATAAAACAATAAATATTAATGTGTTGTTCTATTTGAGAATATTAATATATAGACTCAATCTCGCCAAAGGATTTGTCGAAATAATAGTTCGTCTCGATCGTTGTTTCAATGTTGATCTTTGATCATATTTAGGGTTATAAGATAGAAAACTATCAATAAATAAATAATTTCTATTCAATGACATATTATTTAACAAAATAAAATGCCACACGGAGAAGACAAAAAAAGAAAGAGAACTAAATTCATTGGACAAGGTACCTAATGTTTTCAGACTAGCACAATTTCTTTTTTTTCCTTTTTTGTATCATACATAGCTTGCTTATTTTCTCATCATTATACACTTTTACTCTTAGGCAAAACATTAAAACGACAGAACAAAAACAGAACAGAAAAAAAAACGAATAAAATATGAGAAGAGAAGCACAATTGGCTTTTTTTTTCTTGTTTTTTTTTTTGTATATAAATAAAATAAAATTTTAAATAGGATCAATCGAACTAGGAAATCCATTGTCTATTTCACCCGATTCATTTATTTGTTCGCCTGATAAATAATAAGTTAACTTATAACTAAGTCGAACTGGTTCCTAGAAAAATAAAAAAGATTATTTCTCGAAGAAAAAAAAAAAGTATATTGACTAACTTTATTTGGATTTGATAGAATAATAATTTGTGTAATAGCTTGTGGAGGTAATATTGGATTGTATACAGGTAAATCACTAGCTGATGGGTTTTGTAATTTGATTCGCATGTTCTTATAAATAATTGAAAACAAAATATTTTAGATTTTTTTGTAGAAAAAAATATTTACTTTTGGTACAGCTACTTGAAAATGAAAATTGTTAATTGTATTTGAAGTATTTGTATTGGTAACAGTTAATACAGAAACAATAAGATCAGGACGTGGAGAATCTCGAGCAATATGAATAAGACAATGAAGACCTGTTTGATTATTTAATTTAATATTTATTGGGGGATTTAATGATGATGGACGAATTGATTCAAGAGATATTATTGGAAATGGTAAATCATTTTCTAATGATTTTGATGAAGAATTTTTCATTTCATTTAATGGAATTTTAGTTGTATTTGAACTTGCTGATTGAAATGAACTAAAAACAAAAATTGACACTTTTTTTTTCTATTTTAAATAAAATATTTATTCATCTTTATACCTTTTAGTTGATGAGATTTTTTGTCCTGTTGATTGATCGACAAGAAGATCTTGTAAATCATCAAATAATCCACCTTTTTTTGTCGTTATTCCTTCACTTTTATTTGTTATTGATGAGCCTTTATTATAGATATTTATATATTAATATGTAAATGAAAAAAAAAGAACAAATCTATTTAAATTACATTGATTATTTGTTTTATTTGTATTTGTTATTGGAAAAATAGGTAAACAATCATCGGTTTGATCAACATTTTCACGTGTATTTGATGATGCACTATTAGTTCTATTATCAGAATGTATTTTAATTGGTCCAAATAATTCATCAAGTTCACTTGCAGCAGATTTTATTTCATTTGTTTTATTTGATGGATCTATATAAGATAACATTTATTTTAGTAATTATTATCAATTATTAACAAATAAAATCCAGCAATTTTTAAATCAACTTTTTCATAATAAGTTAAAATAGAATCTCATTAAGATAGATTGGGCCAGTCAATATCGGAGAAGGGGGATCTGACATCTTCAACATCATCTTCACACAATCGGATCATCTATTATCATAAGGTTATCTTCTTTATAGATGATTTTTTTTTATAAAACATCTTTCAATTATTCTTTCTCTGACATTTATCTTTAAGACATTGTCAATATAAAGAATTAATAATCTGAGAGATATATTGATGATATTTAACATTAAAATATGGTTATAACTATTCTATTGAGATGTTTAGAAAGAAAGAGAAATATTAAATAATAGATCATTCTAAAAATCGAAAATGATCAGTTTACTAATTGACTTTTCTCAACATGGAATATAATTATAATTTTGTTGATAAAGCGTCACTATTTTAACTGAAGGATGGTTTCAATTTCGAGAATAATTCTATTTATGAAAATATAAATTTAAACAAAAAATGTTTCTCAAAACGATTTAATAATGTTAATTAATTGTTAGTTTGTAGATCGAATTATTTCTAAGATAGATATTAATTATTGCTGGATTCTATTTGATAATCAGTGTAAACTAACTATTTAAAGTTTCAGCTAAATCGATTAATTTATGTTGAGTTGAACTTGTTGAATTAGGAGGAATATTATCGAAGAAAGGAAGAACATTATCTAGATAAATATATCAATTATATATTTATTTTATTTAGAAATTTCTATCAAACCATCTTTATTATAAATATCTTGTGTAACTAATCGATCATATTGTGCTAAAACACGTGATAATGAATCACTTGCTAATAATATTTCACCTTAAATAACAAAAATAAAATTTTTTTCTTTTTTAAATTAAATAAAAACAAACCAAGTCCTTCATCTCCATCTTCACTTTCTGTTGCTAATCGAAATAAAACTGGTCGAAATTTTTCTAATTCATCACGTAAATACTAAAAAGACGATAAAACAATGAGAAAAAAAAACGAAAATTAATCTAAAAAAAATGCGAACACTCATTGTTTCTTTTTCAGGTTCAGTAGCAGTTGAATGATTATAATGAATAAGCATTTCAGATAAAACTCGAATATTATTTTGAACTTTTTCTAATTCACTTGCTCGATTTGATAATTTTTCAGTTTTTTCTTCATCCTATATTAATATAAATATAAATTTATTAAACGAAATATATCATTTTAAATAATAAACCTTTTTTACAAGACTTTTAATTAATGCATTTGCTTGTTCAAGATCTTCAGGTTTTCGACTTTTTAATAAACGTTGAAGAGTCTTAAAAATCGAAAATTATTTTTTCAAAATAAAATCTAAAAAAAAACCAAATCCTTATTGTTTTACTTTGCTTTTTTCTTCATCAGTATCAAATATTGATTTTGTTTTTTGTGATAAAGGTGTTATTGTTGGTTTATTTATATAAATTGGATCTTCAGTTATTATTGATTGACGTTTTAACATTTGATATGCTTCACTTATTTTAACTTCATTTGGTAAACTTTGTGTCCATGAATATAAAAGTTCAATTACTTTTTTCTTTACTTTTTCTGATGTATGATTTGCTAAATACTTTAAAAAGAAAAGAAAAAGATTTTTATTTATTTATTTTGAATTAAATTTCAAATGAAATTACTTTTGGTGAAACAAGTTTAATCATTTCATTAAGAAAACGAAATTTTCCTATTTCTTGATGAAATCTTCTTCCACAACTTTGAACAGCAACATCAAGTAATTCTAATGTTCTTAATGCTTCATGTTCTTGTGGTGATTGAATTTTATGAGCTATTAAACGAATTGCTTGATGATGACCTTCAGGTTCAGAATTTACTTTTGAACAAAATAAATTCATTAAATTTGGATCTGCACTTTTATGAATCGGACTTGTTGCTTTAACTTAAATAAATAACACATTTTAAACAAACATTTATTTTAATATTTAATGGGGATTTTTTTTTTCATAACTATTTATTAAATAAAATATCTACCTAATTCTTATCAGCAAATATTTACGATTCTTAGAACTCATTTTTTATATTGATGTTCTTAGAATGCACTGAAAAAAACTAATCATTAGTTTTTAATAAAATTTCTCGATGAATTTTTCATAATTTAACGTCATTCTTCTTAAAATTTTTCATCTATTAGATGGTTGTTGAAAAATTTTGAAGAAAATATTTTCAAGGCACAATTTTGACATAAAAACATCTGAAAAAGGATTATTTATCTTCGATCTTTACTATTATTGATTTCTAATAGGAATAAAATTGAAATATTTTCATCATTCCATTTGTTCCCAATGTAAAATCTACTTTCGACAAGATTATTTTATAAATTCAACTCAAAAATACTGACAATTAATAGTTCCAAGTCTTTTTATCGTCAATACTACCTTCAACAATCTTGAAAAGATCGTTGAGCTATAGATCATTATATTCTCCATCGATTTATATTAAACAGTTTACTTTTCCTATAAACTTTATAAAAATTCATAACTATCAGAAGAGCATAGAAATTAATGATAAAATTATTGAGTAGACATCTATTTTTTAAAATTTACCTCTGACAAGGATAAATTTATTTGAAAAAACAAAGTTGATAGTTTAGTAAACCTTGAAATTGAATATCTTTCGACATACATAGACAAATTTCTATCCGTTGAAAGTTAGAGAAAAAAGCACCAAGATTTCGAATAATTTATTTTGAGATACTTTCCAGGTCGAACAAGCACGGTCATAAACGATCGGTTACGGTGACCGTTTTACTCCGTAGACGATCGTATCGTAGCGTATACGGTCACGATAATATACGATCGTAATACTGATCCATGTATTAGAGTAAAATACGACCGTAAACGACCGTATCGAGGTCATATACGAAGTCAGTAATCGTCGACCTGGGTTATTAGAAAAAAAAACTTTTCTATGATTGATTCTGCCATCTCTTATATAAAACTTTGATATGAATATGATAATGTTATAGTTAAATTGTTGAGAATAAATTCTTAATATAATTGAATAAATTGTTTTATTGACTAATTAGGAAAAAATGTGTTAGGTCTTAAAATTTCTCGATTGTATTGTAACTATAAATATATCCAATGTAAAACTAAGATATTTCAAACGTCTTTTGCTTTGATGAGTTCTATATGTTTGATTGTCAATTAAAATAAAACTGTTATTTCGAAAATATTTTCGAGATTTATATTTTCAAAGTGAAATTAAAATAAAATATATTGAATTCTTATGTGAACATTAATATAAAAATGTCAAAGAAATCGAATAATCATTATAGAAGAAATAATTTATTCTAATCTATTTTAAATAGTCAACTTGTAGAAATCGATTTAAAATAATATTTTTTTATTAAGAATTGTATGTTGAGAAAAAATTTTAAAAAAATACTCTTGTATGTTAAATAAAAAGAATAAACTTACAAAACATGGTTTCAATCGAGTCAGCAACAGGAGTTGCCGCCACAGTGTTTGATGTTGAACTCATTTTAATAAACAAAATCTGAAACAAAATCAAACATTTCAACGACTTCAATTTATTTTTATATATCATCTTCATTTATTTATTCATCTTTTTCAGATCAGAATAGGTTAAAAAGTTCAACAAATGTCTTGCAATCCTTCTACTATTTAACTTGAATAAAGTCTACCTCTTTCAACAAACTATAGGAAATAATGGTAGAATGATAAAGAAATTTGTCAATATTAATCAATTGAATTATTTAAATTGAAGACTGAGTGTTCTTTTAGCGTGAAGTACGAATTAAATATCCATATTTGTTACGTTTTTTCCTTCATCGTCGATCGCGAGTCAGTAAGAATGATTCATTTATCAAGAGAAGATTTTCATTATCAATGGTTCATTAAAATAACCAAACATTATCAAACAACTAGTTCATCATCTTATTTATATTGTTAAAAATATTCTCAACAAATTTATGTTGTTAAAACTTTTTTAAAAATCTCTACAAAAGATTATTTGACAGATGTCGCTATTATTCAATGATTAGACTACTTGAAAACGTGCTCTATCTGATCCATCAGTTTTTTTTACAATAAATTTAATTTCTTGTTTATAACAGTAGTTCAAATGTTTTTCTTGCTTCTAAATATACAGATAAACATTGGAAAAAAAGCAAAGTAAAGCTAGAGCAGCATTCATATAATGCCTACCTGATGTGTTTAGAAACTTCTTTCAGAGATTTTGTCTTGTAAAAATAGAAGACGATATTTTTTAAAAACAAATATGCAAATAAAATAGTTAATCAATTATCATATACAATTTTATCTATAGCAATCGGTTCTATTTTTTTCTCTTTTGACTTAAATTTATTTCCCTCAATATAATAAATATTCTTTTCAATGAGAAATATGTTTTCTTCAATAATTTCAATCATGTAAAACCAAAACTTTTTCAAGGAAAACAAAGAAGATAAAAATATTTAGAGAAATTGATCTATTTCAATCTATTGTTGTGGATTTCATTGAGAGGAATAAATACTTTTAAATATTTAACTTTGTATCAATCGTTTCTTTTTTCACTATGCTGATTTCAACTAAATATTAAGCGTTTGTTTTTCTTAATAATCATATAGAATAAACACATCTAAAGTAACATGTCGAATTCTTTTATATACATTCTCAATTTTTAACGACTTTTGTTACAATAGGGACTGATTGATATCAAAAGATAAGAAAAAAACGAACTTTATTTTTTTTACTAGCGTGAGCCCGTGAATACTGAAAGGCTGTTTTTTTCTTCAATATATGACCTCAAAGCTTTAACCTTTCACGCAGTAAGAGCCATATAGATACTCCATATTGTGTATATAGATAGCCTACGGCCTCATACTCATATATAACATATATTTTTATACTTTATTAGCTTTTGGCCTTATAGCCTTGTATCTTCTTGTAGCTCTTGTAGCGTTATCTTCTTATTGCCTTCCTTCCAGAGGTGCAGAATCTACCCGTGTGCACGTACGGCCGTACGGGGAAATTTTTGAAAATTTATTAGCATCTGGGGAAATTTTTTGGAAAACATTTTTCCCTCGTAGGAAAATAATTTTCCCTCGTAGGAAACTATTTTCCCCTCGTAGGAAACTATTTTTCCCTCGTAGGAAAATAATTTCCCCTCGTAGGAAAATAATTTTCCCTCGTAGGAAACTATTTTCCCTCGTTATTTATCTGTGCAATAGGTGAGCTAGCCTTCTTGTTTCTTTATGTTTTATATACCATTTTGTAGCTCGTGAAATTCTCTATCGAATGGTATATAATAGTTGGAGTTTTATTCGACTATGATATGAAAAGTTTTTTACGAAAACAGATAAGGGTCTATCTTCTCATAGGGAAGCATAGGGAAAAATGACTATTTTTGCAATAACCCAACAATGGCTCGGCCAATCATTCTCATCTTCGAACTCGACCGAGATATTGTTAAGACTGAACTGTGTAGAAAATTTCATCACGATCGGACTCTTCTTTCAAACGTTATCGTGTAAACGGCCGGCCGGACGGACATACTGACCGATTCTAGAGTGTACTCACTTTTTGAGTACACAAAAAGTGTAAGGAACAAACTTTCTAGCGGACGTTTGTTTGAATTCTGAAGTTCACAAGTGGATATAGGAGGATTTTTTAATTTCGCTTGTTCTTCCATGTATTTCTGCTGACGCGTTCTAATTTAGGCCAAATTTTACATTGATGTTCTTATTGAGGACATGGCACCTAATTAGAACGTGAATAGTCGACTTCATTCTATCACTTATAAATCTATTATTTCTCAACTTTTTTTAAAAATTTTTCAACCAATAGATAGAAAAGACATTGATCTATTTAGTGATTAAATTTGAGCACATTTGCTTACTGTTTGACTGAGATATTAGAGTGAAAAGACGAAGATGTGAAAAGCCTGTTCTTATTTGGGCCATGCGCTCTATAAGTTTCATAATTACAGCAAATCTTTTCATTTCACACTTTTATAGTTTCATAAAGTATATGTGATCGACAGGAATAAGTAGTGGCGTAACTACCGAGGGGCACGAGGGTGCAATACGCCTCCTGTAAATTTTTGATCGAAATACGACAAACTTTTCTATTTATCCGCCGTGAGATGTTATGTTTGTGGCCTTGAAAAACATGTAACTTTACACGACAGAGGAAATAAGAACTTCTTTTCTGAACAATCGTCGTGAGCGTGGCCACTTTCAGTAGCAAAAATATTGAAAATAGAGATGCGTTAGACCAATTTTTGAGTTTTATAGGACTGAGTCCGGGATCTGTTCAGGAATTTTGGTCATGTCAAAACTGTCATTTTACAAGAAAAGTTAAATATGGAACTTCAAAAACCTAGATTTTTCTTAAGAATATTCGGATGTTAACTTTATCAACTTTGAAAACTGGATATATTTGGTGATTTAAATTTTTCACGATTTTGTATATATTGAAACAATACTCATCTTTCTGCGGGTTCCTTATCGACAAATAATGAGTTTGCACTAGTGGTGTATTTATCGCGAGGGGGAACACGGAATGCAATGCGCCTTGTGTAAATGGTTTTGTTTCTTTATAAATTTTTGAACGAAACACGGCGAACTTCTATTTATCCATTGTGAGATGTTATGTTTGTGATCTTAAAAACTATGTAACTTTATGCAACAGAGGAAATAAGGACTTCTTTCCTGAACAATCGTCGTAAGCATGGCCATCTTTGCTAGCCAAAATATTCATAATAGAAATATGTGAGACGAATTTTTGAGTTTTATAGAAGTAAAACTAGAGCTTGTTCAGAAACTTTGATCCTGTAAAAATAGTCATTTTTTTTTAAAGAAAAATTCAATTTGGAACTTCAGCAAGCTCTATTTTTCTTATGAATATTCAACAATAAATTCATCAACTCTGCAAAATGTATATCTTTGGTGTTTCGAATTTTCCAGAGATTTTTATGTTAAAAAAAACTGACCTTTCTTCAGATTCAAGACCAATAAATAACGAGTTTGCACATCTCTAACTGGGAGACTTCTAAAGCAGTTACGAAAGGATTTATCCTATCTGAAAAGCTTTATTTTTAATAAGAATCGACAGTGTGGTCGTCTTCGGCAGCAAGAGTACTGAGAAATTTGTGAATTTTATCCCAGAATACATTTTTCTCGAAAAAGTCTTATTAGAGAAAATAGAAATTCTGCCTTGAGCGTGCAAAAATTTTTCGTTTCGAGAAAAATTATCCTGACTTTTGAACGATTTTATGAATTTTTTCCGACATGAACATCGTTGCATAACAATCAGTTGGAAACAACAAGATTTTCCTTCACTGTAGGCTGCAAAAACATTTATCTTCATGCAAAAACTTGTACCCACCTTCCCCTTTCCAATCTTGGCTAACTTTGAACACTTCTGATTGCATGATAAATTTTTCGTTCACTACGTAAAATGCTTGAAGAGGCACCGCCCCACCCCATAATTTTTGTTTTTCTGTTTACGCCACTAGGAATAAGCGACAATAAAAGAAAAATATCAAATAACATGTCCAAACCTCTTTTATCTTTTTCTTTTCATAATGTAAAGTTATATGTGCTAAAAATATATTAACAAAAGACACTTGTAATTTGTATTTTCAACTATTGTGTTCATCAATAATAGCTCACACAAGTTAATGTAGAAAAAATCTCTTCTATTTGAATGACAATTTCAGATAAAATGAAGTTAAAACGAAATACTGTTAATTAAAAGATGCAAACATATACTAAAATAAATGAGTTCGCAATATATCATCATTAGTCAAATCTTTTGTTACATTTCTTAAAACAATTATTCTAAAAATTGAGACAAATAAAAACACGAGCTTTTCCGTTGAAAATTTAAATACAAATCTTTTAAAAATCTCTTCCAATAATTAAAAAGTTAATCGAATTATGCTTATTCGAGAAAAAATATTAAGATCTTACTATTATTCACTTTGCTAAATCAAATTGAATATTTATTTGAATTTTATTTAAAATAAATTTAATTTACATAATCTATTTTAACTAATAATAACGTTTATTTCATTTATTCATTTACATCTAAAGATAGAAAAACTAACCATGAATTAATGATTTCAGTTTTTTTTTTTAAATTAAAAATAAGATTTATTCTATGACAATCATAATGAAATGTTTAATTGACTATGATTTCTAAAAAAGCAAAACAAAAATAAAATATTGATATTTGTTACTCTTACTTTTCTTGATTGACTAATGTTGCTTTTATTCTTGTTCGAACTTTTCTCCATCCATCTGTCTTTTTCGTCGTGTAAGTTCATAAATTTCATTTCCTACATCTGTTATAAAATCATCAATATCTTTTAAAGATCTACATAGAAAAAAATGCTTTTAGAATAAAAAAATCCATATGATGGGATCTTTTGAAGTTACCCATCTTTTTCATTAATATAATCATTTACTTGTATTTCCAAAACTAATTGATTATTTTCATCCTAGATAATAAAAGAAAAAAAAATTCAATGGAATGCGTAATGGTTGATACTTACTGTCTTGAATTGAATAATAAAATTTTCATTATCAAAAAATTGTTCAACATGTATAATTAAATTCTCTCGAAAATAATCAACATCTATTGAATTCTTTTCACTTTTTTTCCAATCCATAATTTTTCTAAACTAAAACAAAAAGTTAACCAAGAGAAAAACAAAAATCTTTCTTACTTCGTATGTGATCAAACTATGTCGAAATTGACTAATATCGACTGACTTTTTTCCACTTTTTATCCCATCCATTATTTCATTATACTAAATGAAAAAGTTAATTAACTCAAAAAAATAATCCTATTTCTTACTTCATTGTCCTTCAAAATTATGAAATCTCTACTTAAAAAAGTCCAATGGACCAATATGATCAATTGTTCTCTTGGATGTTCGAATTTGTTTTGATGTAAATGTAATACCATATCAAGAAATCGAAATCGACGTATCATTGACATCTATAAAAATGATTAATAGTTCTCTATTTACACACACAACAATAAATTATATTTCAAAATTGTAAATAACTAAAAAAGTCCTATTTCAATACATCTTAAGCAATTATAAAGTTAACCTAATTTCTTTTAATAGAACTTCAATAGGAAAAAGAAATCATATTTAACAGAGATTTTTCAACAAAAACTTACATTTGTTTTTTTACAATGAACTTTAGTAATAGATAACCGTTGAATTATCTAAACAAAATATAACATTAATTATTCATTTCTCTTCATTTTCTTACAAACAAAATAAACTGTACTTAGATAAAATAAATATAGGATGAGATGAAAGTGTTTATTACAATATATCACTATCAGATATATTGCGATTTCACTGTTGTATATCTTCTTTTCTAATGATTTGTTTCTTCATGTTATATATAAATATATATATAAATGTCGTAGAACAGTTACAATGCTCGACGAAATTATAATTTCATTAGACAAATTTGACGAATTTCTAACTATTTTTTCTGACATTGTTATAAATTCGTCAATTTTGTCCAATGAAATTGAAAGTTCGTCCAATAGTGTAACTTCTCTATGGCATACATATACGTCACCGTCCAAATTAACATTACATTCAATCACACATTAGTCTAAGTAAATATGACAGTCTATATTGGATGCACATTCATTGAGATTATTCTCTTATAAAATATAGAATACATATTCATTCTAAGATTGAATTGCTCTGAATTCGTCAGACGAAATTTCGAATTGACTTAAGCTAATGCCAGAATAAACATATTCAATTCTGTACTTGATGATAAGTATCGTGCTTGAACAAATTATATTTCTATGATTTAGTAAGCCAGATTTAAGTATAGTGAAGTACAAAAATATAATGAACTGACATATTGAACAAAAAATTAATAAAATTGAATATGATTGATGTTGTTGATTGTCACAATGTGAACAGTTTTTATGATATTTTATAGAACAGAAAACATTGTTCTTTTTATTTACAGATGATTTAGTTTTGCGTACATATTTGCAATAGTAAGTGGTTCATTCACTGCATTATGAATAAATTGTTTCGAGATAGTTATTGACTAATATATCTTTCACATGAGCTTTGTTCAACCGAACTAGTTGTTCAAGTATAGCTGAAAGCTTTATAAGAGATTTCAATCATGAATGTTGATTAATGGCGCTGAACATTCCTTTTTTGTCATGTGATTTTTGAAAAATAATCGATGGTAGAATCTTTTGATTCGTATGGATTTGATCAAACTTGTTGATTTTAATGTTAATATAATCACTCTTGATCGTTTCATTTGAATTTGATAAATATGCTTTTAGAGTGCAGTTACGAATTGGAAAACGAAAAGACTAAATATAATAGTTAAATAGGAAAGCACACTACCGAGTTAGAAATGAAAGAAAATACTTCTTGAAGTCGAATAGAAGATTAAACATCAAGATATGTATTGTGAGTGAGTGTTTGCATTACTGCCTAATAAAACAATACATTGTAGCAGAAGATTAACTTATCATCTTATATTATTCATTCTTACAGTGCCCTTAACTTAATATTTCTCCGACTCTTTAAGTTTAGCTTTTACTCATTTGGTTTTAGAAAGCGAAATATCTCTATATTGTAATGAGTGCACAAAGTTCACAATTCATTTTGATATTGATCTAAACCGGTCTGAAATTCGTTGCACTTATCTTTCAGTCTGACAATGAACTAGTTCAATCTTGAATTCAACTGACTAACTTTATACAAGAAATTTATTGTAATAAATAAAAGTAATCTATCATCTGGTTCAACGTATGAACAACGAATAAGAAAAGAAAATTTACATAAAGAATTTGAACAAATACAAAATGATATTCGGTAAAAACAAAAGAATTTTTCGACTTTTTTGTTTGAAATAATTTTTTTTTCTGATAGAAATATTTGTTCATTTTTGAATTTATATTCGGCTATGTTAGAATCATATTTTTTTGTGATATTCAACGAGATATATTAGCAGAATTTATACTTTCAAATGTAACATTTTTAATAAAATACCATTTAAATGATTTTGATTGGAAGTGTTTTATTGATCAAAAAAAAAAAACAAAATGAAATGAAATTAATAATTGTTGAAAACTAATAATATGCTTCGATATCTTCCATCATGAGATAATTATTTGGAAATATTTCAAACAATTTTACAAGAATCAAAACAAATGCTTTATGTAAACAATGGAAAAATATTTTAAAATTAGATACTTGTTTAAGAGATGCATATACATTTGATGATATTATATATAATAAATGCGGAAACTTCGGATTTAAATCCGAGAGTTATATGTACTTCAAAAAGTGAATGAGACAGATGAGTCGTTCTAGAATATGGGGATATAAAAATTATTCTGGCAAACCTTATCTATAAACACTTGATTTCTATTGGCTACTGCTCAACCAATAGGATTTGGGGATGAATACAGCTCAGATTTGAACTCTTCACCTTGATTTACCCTAAGAAAGTCGTCTTTCCTATAACTTGATTTCTATTGGTTACTGTTCAACCAATGGGATTTCGAGGCGAATAGAGCACAGATTCGAGTTCTCCACCCCAGAAAACCTCGAACTATCATCTCTGTGATCGAAAGATAGAGCTCTATTTATGGATCAATTAGAGCGTGACAAAAACAGAACCGAATTCCGATTAATTATCTTTGCAATAGCTGAGTTGGCTTTCTTGTTTCCTTATGTTTTATATACCACTTTGTAGCTCGTGAAATTCTCTATCGAATGGCATATAATAGTTGGGGTTTTAGTTGACTATGATAGGAAAAGTCTTTTACGAAAATGGGGATGGGTCGATCTTTCCATAGCGAAGGTGCAGGGAAAAATGAGTATTTTTGCAATAACTCAGGAAGGGCTCGGCCAATTCTTCTCATCTTCGAACTCGACAGAGACATTGTTAAGACTGAACTGTGTAGAAAATTTCATCGCGATTGGACTCTCCTTTCAAAAGTTATCGTGTTAACGGCCGGACGGACGGACATACTGACCGATTCTAGAGTGTACTCACTTTTTGAGTACACAAAAAGAGACAACAATTGACAAATGTAAAAGATTTCAATGTATTTTTCAATCGATACTTGAACTTACGTAGGAAAATATCACAAAGAAAGAAATACCATAAAGAATATCGAAAAAACAGTCTGACATAAATTTTAGATGTTTTACAAATCGCCGCTGTTCTGCGTCAATATGTAGACCTGTTCCAGCGTACCAAAATTTTGTTTAAGCAGTTTTGTATAGCGTGCAAAATCAGGATTACTTAAATTACGCAATGACTTGTTGGGTACTTGTTTAATTAATTCTTGCATTTGGAAAGTAATTTTATTAATATCGAATGCTAGTTGTTGTTTCTACAAGAAGAAAAAATGTACGAGTATTAAAATAAAATTCGCAACACAAAAAGGTAGAATTGATGCCCAGGTCGAACATATAGGGTCGTAAATGATCGTTTACGAAGAAAAACGAAGATATACGAAGGTTGTGCAGGGCTTCCGTATACGACGCGTGTGTACGAAACGATACGATGAGAAACGGATTCCGTGTATGGAGATCGTACAAAATACGGAGTGATTAAACGACCCAGGTCGACGATTACGGACTTCGTATACGAGTGTAAATGATCGTATACGCTCCCTATACGGCCGTAAACGGTCGTATTTTAGCAGTTTACATGGTCCAGTATTACGGTCGTATGTCGCCGTGACCGTATACGAACATATACGATCGTATACGGAGAAATACCGAGAAAAATGGAGATCATATACGAACTCTGTATACGAGGACCGTAAACGACCGTTTTTTTCTCCGTATATCACCTTATTTCTTCGTAAACGACACGGAGATATACGATCGTAATACTGGACCATGTATTTTGCCGTATTTCTCCGTATACGATCGTTTACGAGCATGGCTGTTCGACCTGGGGGTAAGCAGCTCTACTCCTTGTACGGAGCTATACGACTGCCGTATACGGTCGTGTATCACCGTTCGCCATTGTACCTGGTCGTATACGACTATTGTAACCGTACAATTCATTGAATAGTACGTTTTTTAATTTATTTTAATTTATTTTAGGTCATCCTAATGGATCTAATCAAGGAGAAGTAAGTGTTTTTATTTAATTTAATTTTTTTCATCTATTTTAGGTCATCTTAATAGATCAAATCATGGAAAAGTAAGTATTTTAATTGATTTATTTTTTTCTTTATTTATTTTTAGGTCGTCTTGATAAATCAAATCAAGAAACAGTAGGTATTTTAATTTATTTAATTTTTGTTTTATCTATTTTAGGTCATCTTGATAGATCAAATCAAGAAACAGTAGATATTTTGATTTATTTTGATTTATTTAATTTTTTTTTATTTATTTTAGGTCATCTAATCGAATAAAATCATTGGTAGCTTGGTGACGGAAGTGCGTGCAATATACGGTAAAGTGGATAATATTTTTATCGTATAGAGAGCAAAATATGATCGTTTACGACCGTATACGGAATCCGTGACCGTCAACCTGGAAGGGAATCGTGCCGAAAATATTTAGTAAGCAAAATGAAATGATTATTGATCGATGCATCGATAAAGAAAAGCGAATATTCACGTGAGTAACGATATTTTACTTGAAAAACATAGTTACCAATTTCTTTTTACAGATATTTGCCATATATGTACGATCAAGCAGGGTGTGGGTGCGTGATGGCGTGGGTGTAGGTGTGCGTGTGGATGTAGGTGTGGGTGTGGATGTAGGTGTGGATGTGGCTATCGATGGAGATATACACACACACACCCACACCCACACCCTAGTCGATTTACTCGGGATACACTTATCAAGTTAATGCATTTTTGTTTATGTTTCTAATTCTTATTATTGCTTTTTTAAAGGTATTCAATAAATTATCAAGTATGCGGATTAGCGAAAAATCCAATGAATCTTTATGAAATCGTATGTACGACAATTATTGTAAGTATATTATCTTGAAATAATCAATTTGAAGAAAGAAAAAGAAACTTCCTTACTCTAGGGCACATATGGCAGAATCAATTTGCAAAGATTTAGTTCACCTACTAAATTGATGTCATTGGAGAATTTAATCAAGAAATATGATAATTACTTAAACACGAAAACAGATTATATATTTATATTTTTACTCTATACTTTAAAGCTCGAAGACATTGAATTATTCGATGATTATTCAAATGAGGAAAATGTTCTTTTACCACATGCTGCAAATGGCGAATACCGATTTCGTTTAAAGAAAGATTTAAAGGAAATTGATTTTTTACTTTTTCCGAGACAAGAATCATTTTACATGCGTATGGAGGTATGGTATATTATTCGAATAATAAACGAACTAATTACTCTTTACAGGGAATCGTGCCGAAAAAATTTAGTAAGCAAAATGAAATGATTATTGATCAATGCATCGCCAATGAAAAGAAAATATTCAGGTGAGTAACGATATTTTACTTGAAAAACATAGTTACCCATTTCTTTTTACAGTTTTTTGTCGTATATATATGATCAAGCAACTTCTGTGCGCAGCAAAATTCAGCATATTTTTCGTTCTTAAAAATAAAGTTCAAATATTTTTCAAAATAAATTAGTTCAGATAGTTTTATACAATTCTTTTTTATTAATCACTCCTCTCTATGATAGAAAGACAAAAGTTTTCCAAATCAAAACAGAAACACATTTATTTATTTCGATATACGTGTTAAATAAGAATAAAAAATTTCCCACAATAAATAATGCTTTTATATTCTTTTATTCATTAACATTGTGTCTATCTGTAGCATTTGGTACAAGTGACCATATTAGAGATATAAATAACAAAAGATATGGTCGTTTGGACCATCGTTTTAGCGATTTGTACTATCTTTATGGTCACTGACCATAGAAATGGCACGAGTGACCAAACGGTAAAAATTATCATACATCTGGTATAAATAACGGTAACTATGTCACAGATGATAAAAATATGGTTCAAAATAACCACAAAGATACTCTAAATGATCATAAGTATGACACGATTGATCCTTAATATCACAAATATAGTTCAAATGCGCCAAAATGTGTTCGTAATGGTCACAATAATGATCCCGATGACTTCAGATATGGTCTGAATGACTACAAATACAATCATGTTGACGATGTCTGTCGGCATATGAAACGTACCTTTGATCATTAGTGCTCTTTGTATAGTCATTTGTGTCAATCTTTACTCGTTTGGAGCACATCTATGGTCTTTTAGAGCTTATCTGTGATCATCTTTAGCATAGTTATCATGTGGTTACTGTATTGTAGAGAAACAGAGAGACAACGGTGAGTTTTCATTAGTAGAAGATTATCTCAGTTTAGAATCAAGCGAATCGAGTCTGGATGAATGTTACTTGTAAATCAAGGCAAAAACAAATTTTGAAAGAGCTTGATAGCGCAGCTTGTATAAAAAAGATAAAATTTCCATCAGTTATTTATGCTGAGATATGGGCCAAAGAAGACTGTATGGTATGATAGAGAATTTCAAACGCTTTCTAGACGTATAGTCTCGTGTTTAAAAGTTACTCTTAGAGACATAATAATTTTAAAAATCAACTAAAAAGTTAGCAAAAAAATGCAGATTTCTAGTACGTGTCAATTACGATTACATTTATTATGTTTAAATTATTGTTTCAGAGATGAATGCAATCTAATAGATAAATATATAGAGTGATAGACAATTTTGAGCTCTATTAAAATATATAAGTACTGTTTTAAAAAGAAAATTTTTTAATAATTAAACATACAAAAAACTTATTTTGACGACATTGAAACAAACAATTCTGTGAGAATCTGATGATCTGGGTGTCTTCATTGTAATCGATTTATTTTAATAATATATAGATGCAAACTAAAACATAAATAAACAGAATGATAGAAAACTTCAAGAACTTTGGGAATATTTGATTATTTTTTCCAAAATCTCTTTCCATAGGGACAATATATCTAAAGTACGAACTGAAACTATTTTTCTTTCTCACGTATATATGAATAGATTTGTTAAAAGAAGATTTTATTTAAGAGGTCAAATACGAAATAAAAAGTATTCTATTAGAATTATCTTTCACTCAAAGTTGAATGAAAGAGAATAAAGGATCAAATATCAATTAAATTCTTATCAATATGAATAAAAATAAGACAAAAAAAAAAGCGAACGAAATCTTCATTTGATTATTGATTTAATACATAAAAATGTCTATTCGTTTATATATTCTTGTAATTGTTATTGGTTTCTTAGCTGAAATCGAAGGTAAACCAACATTAAACGGTAAATTAGCAAACCGTATAAATGTTTTACTTAATATAACCGAAGCTGAAAAAATCTATAACAATGTGTTAGAAACAAATATCATTAGTGATCCGATTCTTTCAAATTATAAGTCTGAAATAACATCATTTGTTAATAAATTCTTTTCATTTGAATCATTACGTCCTCATATTATTGAAATTTATCGAGATCTCTATACATTATCTGATATAAATGGAATGATTAAATTTTATTCATCACCATTAGGAAAAAAGTTACTTGAAAAAGAACCTCAAGCTGAAATTCGTCTTACTCAATTAATTCAAAACAGATTACAAGAAAATATGCCACAAATTATTTCATGGGTTCAAGAAAAGTTTTTCAAAAATTTACCTTATGATCAAGATAAAAAAGAAACTCGTTTACTTCATTGAAATAAAATCTTATCAACGGATTTTATTATTTCAAAATTTATAAATTAACATTATCTCAATTTATTTATCTTTTAATATGTTTCTTTTTTTTTCACTTTTATTAATTATTTTTTTTTTTATTCGATCCAATTATTTTCGAATATTTTTTATGAAAATCATAAAGGCCGATTTGTGTTTTTTGTTAATTTATAAGATTGATATAATCATACTTTTAAAAATATACTTTAATTCATCTAATAAGATTTTTTTAAAAATACAAAAGTTCTCATTTTATTCTTTCATTAAAATAATCCAACAACGTAACTGTTCAATCTAATAATGTAAATATATCATTGAAAAGGTTTATTTTTTATTTATAAATTATTCTATCGATTTTTCGTTTTTTTCCTAGTTGAAAAATGACAACCGTCTAAAATTATTTGCTTTTTAAATCAAACAAACATTAAAAATATAATTTTAGTAAAAATTTTTAAATTGAAAATAAAATATTCAATAGAATAAATAAATAGCGAAGTGTTTATTTTGGATATATTTAATAATAATATATCTGTGTATATCGAATCTGAAAGTTCAATTGATATATTAAAATAGGCACAGACAAAAACATATCTGACATTACACAGAGAAAATAATTAAATATATAAAAGAAAACTCTTTTTCATAATTGAATTCAAAATGAGAATTTTACATGACTAACTCTTTATTAGAGATCGTTATCGATCAATTATCTAATAAGCTAATTATTGAAATCGATTGAAGAGTTAATATAAACTATTGAAAAGACGTTGAAAATCAACTCGAAAGAAAAAAAAAACTCGATTCAATCCGAGATTGCTTTTTATAGAATTCTTTGATAATTGCCCACGTACAAGAAAACGACGCCTTAAACTATATAGAATAGGAAAAAATAACTTAATGACGTCGTCGTTTTACGTAAGCTCATACAACCGAATGACGTATTACGACGAAATATGTTGAAAATTAAGGAAATAATATCTCCTTCTATAGTCATTTAAGATACCGTTTCCGACAGTCGGAACTCTTATCCTTCATCATTAATTTACTTTAAATCAATACTTTCTTATTCTTCTTATAAAACTTCTTTTTCAAACTCTGAAATAGATAATACGAATTCATTATTGAATTATTTATTTAGAAAAGTTTGTTCAAACAAATAAATAAAGATTGACAATAATATAATGAAATTTTTTTTCTTTGAAAATAAAATATTAACTTTTTCAATTGTTTATTAAATCTATGACAAAATAACATTTTATTTTCATTGAAAATAAAATTTATTTTAAATAAATTAATTCTTAAATAATAACATTGATAAATTTTCATATCTAGAATTGATGAAGAGAACATTAAAAACAAACAATAAATTTTTCAAAAAACATTCGAAATTTAATTCTATTCTAGAAAAAAACTTCATATCAATTTCAATTATTTTTCTTTCTCTCCAATAGGAAACTCTTTTTTCAAAATTGTTTCTTTATTTTTCAGTCTAATTCATATTGATCTATCAAAAAGAACTTTTACAATTTATGAAAACATTTCATTGAAAACAAATCAATTGAAATATTCACTCGTCAACTATTTAGACGATTTTACTGGTCTACAACAAAATAAAATTAATTTTACGAAACGAATATATTTATTATTCTGATAAAGGATTAAAAAAATCTATTCTCAATCTACTTAGAGAAAGAACAGCACATCATCTTTCTTTAATATGAGATGTTTATGTCGACGAGAGTCCTATATCATCAATTTCGTTGATTTATTTAAGAGTTTGGATATGATACCGAAATCGATATTTATATATAGAATATTTAACTTGATATATTCGAATGACAAAATAGATTTTGTAAACATTTTATATAAAATAATTCAATTCGTTTTCATATTTCAACAGATTAAAAAAATTCAATTCTCGGAACTATATGGATTAATGGGATACAAAAATTCTTCTAAAAAAAATCTCAATTTGAACAAATTATTATCGATGAATAAAATGACGAATTCATTTTTTGTTGTCTTAAAAAAAACCGAAATGTTGAAGTTAATAATGAGATCGAATATCTATTTAATTTATTTACTTTCTATGAATTAAATCAATTTTAAATATAATTAATTAATTAAAAATTGTTCATATCTCTATTTAATAGAAAATTATTAATCTTCATTTAATTATTTCGATTTATTTTCAAAAAGATTTACGTTTTTATCTGAATAATATGTAGAATTAAACAAACTGAACAAGGATTTTTTCTTTTTTGATTCTCTTAAGTTCATAGAAAATGAAATGAATTATTTGATAAAAATATACTTGAAAATGAAGTAAGTTAATGCATCGATTAAGTTTGAATAAAAAACAAGAAAAAGACTTTATATGCAAATTTGATGATCAAAGATATTCTTTTTATGTTCTTATTTCCAGTTGATTTCAACATAGATTTATTTGAATAGCATTATACAACTAAATTAACAATAAAATCATCATCTTTTTTTTTTTTAATCGATCAATATTAAGAATATGATCGGACACTTGAATTTATTTTGCTTTATAAAATAATAAATGTTGAACAAACTTGTTCAGATCTTGTCACAATCAACAAATATTCAATACGGAACAAACAAACAATTTTGTTATCAAACAATAACACTTTTTTTTTTCTCAAAAACAAAAATAAAAACTAATCTTGTTAAAAAGAAAAAGAAAAAAAAAAGATATTGTACATATGGTTGTTATTCAAGGTAGCATATGTTTTATGTAACAAAAGAAAAACGAGTTTTTAATGAAGAAGACGAAAGACAAATAGAGATAATTTCTCTCATTTATCATTATTAACAGTTCTACCCGCCTGTTTTTTATTCAATTAGAGATTTTTATTTATTCTTATCAATCGATTTATCGTTACGTTTAAATCGATTTTAGCTTAAAGGTGTAGTTTTAAGTCAATTGATCAATTATCATATTGACTAAAAGCAACATCACCTTCACTTTTTTTTTTCTCTCTTCTTTAAAAAAAAAAAGAAAAAAAATTCTTTGAAATTACAGATGAATGATGATAAAGAAACTTAATCTACACTTGACTTATTAACGACAGACGAGAAACGAATCGCGTGCATTTCATTTCTTATCACACTAATTGCAAATATACACTTCAACTCATATCTTTGTTTATAGACACACGCCATGCTGATCAATCAAACACATCAGACTACCGAATATTACATTGATTTTAATCTTATATATTATTTTATATATTGACAACAGTCAATATATATTTTCATTCTTTTTTTTTTTCCATACTATACTACAACAACAATAACTTCTTTTTACAATTAATTTCTATCTCAACATTTAAAAACAATATAACAATAACTATTTTATTAACGTTTACCTTTCACTTTTTACTAAAAGAAAAAATTCCAATTCTATTAAACAAGCATTGTTCTGTTTTTTTTCTCTTAGTGGATAATGACGAAAAAAAAAAAAAAACATTTCTATTTTCATTGGCTGACTATCGATTGTCGGTCATATGCAATATAATAGAGGAAGAAGTGAACGGAAGGGAGCGATCATAGACTCTGACAGTAGTTTGTTATTTGCTCATACGTCCACTTGTGGTCCGACATGCTTTTCTATTCTATTGGAATTCTGCCGGAACTAAACTTATTCCTCTCTTATAGAATGATTAAAAAAAAAAAGAAAAAGGCACGCTAATAGAAAAGAATCTGTATATATTTACATTGGAGTAGAGTATCTTTTAATCTTCTGTCTATTGAAGAAAATGAATAGAAACGAGTGTCACTGAAAAATAAGTTATTCTTCTCATCTCTGTGTCTCAATTGTCAATGTTGATAAAACAATTTCACAAGTACTTAAGCTTCTCTTTTTTTTTCTCTTTTTTTTTGATTAACTCAATATGGTCAATCGAATTTTTCTAAAGTGTCAATTATCATTTGATCTTTATTTTCAATTTCGTTTTCTAATAAGGAAAAAGAATAAGATGATATTATCTTATGAAGATAAGAAAATAAAAAAAAAAAAGAAACGAGAAAGATTTGTCAATCTATATATAAAGGTGCTTATCTGTCGTCAGATATCGATACATCATTATGTAAAACAAGCGTACGAATTATATTATGGTGGAGACTGACAAAAGAAAAGAACGACACATTCCTTGTCTCATCAATCATCTTGACTTCTTGAATGAGTCCAATTAAACAAGCAGATATTCTCTAATTAGAGAAAGAAAAAACGAATGTCTGCATATTGTTGTTTATTCGATAGTCATTCGATGATGATGATGATGATGATTATGATCTTAATCAGGGATCTATAGACAATTACATCATTTTCTTTAAATCAATATGTGTCATTTGACATTAACTATGTATCTTATCTTCAAAGTTAAAAGGTTTCGACACGATCTAAATCATTGTTAACACTTGAATAGACAGAAAGAAAAAAAAACGAAAGAATGAGATTGATTTAAAATAAATTCCATTTATGAAAAAACAAAGTGAGTTGCAGATGGTGAAAGACAAACATAATATTGAATGTTTATGTTCTTTAGTTTTTGTTGTTGATAAGTAAGAGTAACTGGAGAATAATTGTCTCCATTTGAGTCGATAAATGCAATGTTTGCTTATTGAAAAAAGAAGAAGAGAAGAGAACAAGAATAAGAAGAAGTGGGGAATGGCGTCGTTGTCGTCATGTTGATGTTGACTTAAGAGGGTGAGGCCACTCTCTTCTCTCTTCTATAATGACTCGATGATTTACTTAGGGCACTATTCTTCATTATTAGTGTTGCCTTTTTCTTTTCTCTTGTTGTTCTGCTTCTTCTTCTTCTTCTTCTATTTCTTTATCCAATAAGAAGAGAAAAAGTTTCTTTTTTTTTTTTTCTTCTTTCACCCGTTGGCGATGTTAACAAGGTACTCGAACAAGAATGTAAAACATGGTGTCTCGTTCTAATGTCAACCAATGA